ATAATAATAATAATAATAATAATAATAATAATAATAATAATAATAATGCCAGTTTATTCCAAGCTATAAAGCTGTATACAACTTTAGGAGTAGGAAAGGGAACAGCATTTTTTTTCAATGAAAAAGCTTAATGATTGTCAAGTTTGCAGAGAGAAAATGCGTTGTGCTTGTTTTTTTTAACTCAAAACTTACAGATAAAAATCCTAAATTTAAAATACATGTTTAGCAATCACAATTAAAATAGTCAAAGTGGCTTTTGTATTTATTTGTAACAGATAAATGACCTGACACTTACAGCAACAATCATGATGCAGTTGTCCAGGAATCCAAATCCAACAAAGGGGATTGCATTGTGCAGCAGAACTGTAAAGTCAGCACAAACAAAAACTACAGTCAGACATGTACACCTGCAACCAGACAGAAAACAAGACTGGAAGAGTCGAATCTTACAGTAATGCTGCACAAACACAACTGACAAAAATACACATATTGTTGCGAAGTTGCTGTAAAATATTCAGAAAGAAGTATTAAAAATCCAGACTGGCAATAATATTCCAGATTGGTATTATTAATCCAGACCATTATTAAAAATAACAAACAATATTCCAGGCTGACATTAATATTCCAGACTGAAAATAATATTCCTGACTGATGTTAATATTCCAGATTGACAATTCTAATCCAGACAGTATCACGGTCATTTGTGGATAAGACCCAAATGCATTCAGACACAAGGAGCTTAAATTTAGATATACAATTTATTGAAATAAAGAAAACAAAAGGCTGACGTGGCAGCAAATACTTACAAAAAGGAAAACAACGATGAGCACGAGAGGGAAGACTGAGAAATTTGGTGTGAGACCAAACTAATGAGTCGCTGTTAGAAGGTGGTGAACAGAACTGGTTTAAATAGAGCTGAGGGACAGAAGAAAGTGACAGCAACTGGGATGGTGGCTAACTGGAAACAGGTGTGAGTGATTACTGACAGAAGACCTGTTGAAGCTGACTGAAGGTGAGCGTGAGGAGTGAAACAGAAACACAGAGAGCAGAACCAAAACACAAAGGACAAAGAAATGAAATAAAACACATAAGGAAAAATAAACTCTAACAACCGGAAAGAAACACAGACCATGACAAACAGGTATTATTAATCCAGACTAATAATAAAAATAAAGAATAACATTCTTAATCCAGACTGACATCAATAATCTAGACTAACAATATTAACTAAGACTGACAATACTAATTCAGACTAACAAAATTAATCCTGACTAATATTTTTATTAATACCTAATAATTATTAATTATTGAAAATTCTGCTGCCAGGATTTTAATGAGCGTTAGTAGGAGAGATCATATCTCTCCAGTTTTAGCTTCTCTCCACTGGCTCCCTGTCAAATCCAGAATAGAATTCAAAATCTTACTTCTAACGTACAAAGCTCTCAACAACCTAGCTCCATCTTACATTACAGATCTTTTTGTTCGATATTTTCCTAACAGAGCACTTTGCTCTCAGACTGCAGGTTTACTTGTAGTTCCTAGAGTTCCCAAAAGCAGAATGGGAGGAAGATCTTTCAGTTATCAGACTCCTCTCCAACTTCCAGTTTATGTCCGTAGAGCTGACACTTCTACTTTGTACAGGCTTCGCCTTTTCAGGCTATCGCTAGTGGGTTTTCTCCTCACGCTCAGTGCAGCACTGAGAACTATAGTCCACGCCCACCTGCTGTGTGGGCCCCGCCCCCGGTCTATATAAGCTGCGACTCACTGCCCAGACTAGGTTTAAGACTTTCCTTTTTGATAAATCCTATAGTTAGGGTTGGCTTGGGTTTTGAGTAGTAGTATTAAGCCAGACTGAAATTAATAGTCCAGATTGACATTAATAATTCCAGACTGACATTAATAATCCAGACTGGTATTGATAATCCAGACTGACATTTATAATCTAGACTGTGATTATTAATGCAGTCTGGAATTAAACATCAAGATTGGCATGAATAATGTAGACTGATATTAATAATCTATAATTATATTATTAATCCAGACGTTAATATTAAATACAGACTAGTATTCCAACCATCCATCCATTATCTTTACCCTCTTCTTCATTTTTGGGTTGCAGGGGTCACTGGTGCCCATGTCCAGCCATCACAGTACGAGAGGCGGGGTACACCCTGGACAGGTCTCCAGTCCATCACAGGGACACATAGAGACAAACGAGATAAAAAACCATTCTCTCTCTCACTCACACCTAGGGACAATTTAGAGTTACCAATCAGCCTAACATGCATGTTTTTAGTTTGTGGGAGGAAACCAGAGTACCTGGAGAAAACCCACATATGCACAGAGAGAACAGGCAAACTCCACCCAGAATGGTCCTCGACCGGGATTTGAACCAGGGACCTGCTCGCTGAAGCAGCAGCTCTACCATCTGTGCCACCGTGCTGCCCCAGACTGGTATTACTAATCCAAACAGAAATGAACAATTCAGACTGAGATTAATAATCCAGACTGACATTAATAACCTAGCCTGACATCAATAATTTAGATTGACAATAATATTCCAGACTGAAATCAATAATCCAGAATGATATTAATAATTCACACTGAAATTAATAATCAAGACTAATATTATTAAACCAGACTGAGATTAATAATCCAGACTGACATTAATAACCTAGACTGACATCAATAATTTAGACTGACAATAATAATTCTAAACCTTTTATCTTGTTTCTTCTATCTACTTGAGTGCAGAATAGTTTTTCTGGAATAGGAGAGATGTACTGAAGTATCAATCCCATCCCGTTAGTATCAACAAGATCTGACACTATCGTTTGTATCATATATCTCTGTAGATTATCAGTCATCCAGGACATGGCAGATTAAAAAGGACTAAACAACTGGATTTGTGTTATGTAGCTGAAGATGTGTGGAGTTCTGGGCTTTAAGCTGCGTGACGCTGGTCTCAATATCAATATTTGGATGAATCCGCTCCCTCCTACCTCACTGATAGATGAGTCTGATGAAATGAGACATGACCGTTCAGACTGAGGTCGCTTTGAAAAACATCAGCATCAACATTATATCAACAACATATTGATCTGATTTAGGACCACACATGAAAAAGACCTTGGTCAGATTGCAAAAATTAATTTTGTCCCGTTCGGACAGTGTAAAGTTTTTCTTTACCAGGCCAGGAGGCTCAATGTGAACATCTGGTCAGTCTTAATTTTCTACCAAAACAAGGAAAACATTCTCATGACATTTAGATGCAGAACTAACATGAGAAAAGACTGAAAACAATAACTTACAGCTCATATAAAGTAGCTAATCAACAAACATAATGTATTATATAAAATCTGTTTGTGTTAGTGTTAAAACAATGTATAATAAAGATATGTTAATGAGAAAAGGTGTCAGGCTGGTTTCGAATTTCACAGTTTCACCATGAACACAATTTATACCAGCAATATCCTGATCTGTAATTTAGACAATTTTTCAAAAGTTTTATTGAAGTTGTCATTATCGAACAAAAACAAGCACTTAAAAATCTACTTCATGTACTGAAATAAACAAACATTCTGTACATAAATAAACAAACACACCATGTTCATTGAATAAAACACTTCTCACCGTATCTTAACTGCGCCGCAGTTGGTGGTGCGACTTCCAGCTGCCCTGAAAAACAAACAGGAAAAGACAAATTATAAAAGTCTTCTTTGGCTGATCATACTATAAATGACGATGGTGAACCCCTAGACTGAGGAACAGCTTCTACCCTGAAGCTGTTAGACTCATAAAACCATAACCAGGATCATCGCTGTGAAAAAACAATCACTGTAATGCCACTTTGATGTTTGATATGTGCTGCTGATTATCCATGCTGCTGATTTATTTCATGCTGCTGTGTTCATTCGTACTCATCTGCTCACACAGACTCATGTTCGTGCTGCTGTTGTTCGGTGTATTGTTTTGCACTATTAAGTGTTTAGCGTATTTCTTAGTGACTATCTTAGATACTTATTACTGTTTATTTTACAGTTTATATTTTTGCTGTTGTTGTATGTAACTGGGACCCTGTGTACACAATTTTGTTCCACCTCATGTACCACATGTGGTGTGTATGACAATAAAGAACCTTGAAGTATATATATATATATATATATATATATATATATATATATATATATATTTATATTTTTTTTTATAAACTCTATCAATAAGAACTTATGGACAGAAAAACACAGAACAGAGGATTCCACAACAACAGAACAGAAGAGGAGGAAACAGGTTGTCCCTCTCTGCTACAGAAACATGGATGAAGACAAGAGTGACATCAGGAAGAATAATTTTGTTGCCAAAGTTGCCTGAGAGAGTGCAGAGCGTCTGTGAGGGCATGGTGACAAACAGAAACAAGCACAATGAAGAACAAACATTTGTTTTCAGCTTCCGGAGCAACACATCTATTTACCATAAATTTACCATGTTTGAGTGTCAAAAAATGGCAGAGGTGATGCAAAGATGGCAGGGTACACATAATGTACAAATTTACTGTCCTACTGGATAGAGATGATGGAGTGTACTGTATATCCAAGAAAGTTCAATCTGGTCCTCTGGACATTCAAAAAAACAAAAAACAAAACAAAGCAAAAAAAAAAAAAAAAAATGTAGAAACGTTTCGTCTCTCATCCAAGAGACTTCCTCAGTCTGAGCTGCTGTTTTCAGCTCAGTCTCTTAAATAGCACCTTCTCAGAGTAGATCAGCCAGTTTTGCCCACGAAACGTTTCTACATTTTTTTTTTTTTTTTTTGCTTTGTTTTGTTTTTTGTTTTTTTGAATGTCCAGAGGACCAGATTGAACTTTCTTGGATTTTTCTACCTGGATTATTGAGCATGCATCAGGATAGTGTACTGTATATTTTTTACAATTTACTGCTGTTCAGCTGTTTTAAAGTAAACTACAAATGGCAGGAATTATTTCCTGTTGTGTCCCTGTGGAGAAATAAAACCTTCCTACATAAACTGAATGGCAGCTAAAGTTTGCTGTAGAAGCTAAAACTGATTTTTTTAACTCAACAAAAGTGGGACACTAGCTAAAAGTAACAAAAAGCTATAGTCTAAAAGTATCAAAATAACAGCTAGATGCTAACATTAGCCAGCTGTTAGCTAAAAGCAAAAAGCTCCAATAAGCAAGTTAAAAGTATCAAAAGGTTAACAAAAGCTAAGAGTAGCAAACAGCTAACTAAAAGTAGCAAAAGGCTAACTGAAAGCTTTAAACTGCAAAAGGCAAGCTAAAAGTTAAAAATAACAAAAAGCTAGCCAAAGAGTCATTGTAGCAAAAGGCTAGATAAAAGCTAAAAGAAGCAGAACATTAACTAAAAGAAGCAGGATTGTCATATCAGTGCCTTCTGTGATTTTATTAAGTCCTGTAGTTCATATTATTATTTCCTTCCTGGGTCATGTGTTTCTTGTGCCATTTTCCATTTACCCTCTGTCAGCTTCCTCAGTGTTGGTTCAGTCTGCCACCCTCACCTGTTCCTAATTAACAATCAGCCAAGGTGTTCCCAGTTCCTCCTGTTATATAACCAGTCTCCAGTCACCATCTCATCAGCAACTCATTGTGTTTAATTTTTCTTTATGTCCCAGTCCTCAGTCTTTCCTCGCGCTTCTGTACTATGTTCTTTGTAAGTTTGCTGCCCCTGCAGCTTTAAGTTTTGTTTGTTTTACTCACACTCCCCCAAGTCTGTCTTCATTTGGGTCCCATCCACCACCGACACTTACATGAACTTTAGTAAAAGCAAAGGTAGCACAAGAAGCATAAAGCTCTCAATGTCTTCTGTGTGGATAATATTTGTAAATACTTTTAACAAAAAATATACAAAAGTAGCAAAAAGACAAAACCAAACCCTTCTCCTGAATGAGAGTAATATTTTTATATATGAACGGCTTTAAATGGCACAAAGTATGCAGCAATAGTAAGATTAAAAAACAACATAAAAATTAAAAAAATATGAAAACAGTTGATTAAATGTTGAATTCACTGTTTTATTTTTAATATGCTCTGATGAAAAAGTGATGCTGAAGGAGAAGTGTTGTTTTATTCATCCGACATAAGCTGAATAACGATGACAGTATATTAAAAAGTACTGTAATACAGAACGGGCTCGGAACCACCAAGAATCACCAGAACCTGCTGTAAAACCAGAAAACTGATGTGAAGTCTGGATCTTTCCCTCTGCAGTTTTAAGACTCAGCTGTTTGCCATGAAATGCAAAGCCACATAATAAAATCCTCTGCCTGTGTTATTTCATCATCGCAGGATAAAATCAGCCCAGAGAAGGTTTAATTTAATGCTGTCTTCTTCAGCTGATAAAACAACGGGGTAAGGCGTGTGTTCACACCAACACACCTGCACTTCCCACATGCTGTCTCCACTGGCCTCCATATAAGATGCTTGGCCTGTTGCCACCTGCCTTCTACTCACCTGATAAAGCACCAGTATCCTCTTTCTGCCTGGAATTCTCCTCACTGCGTGGACAAGCCTGAAGAAAGCTGTACGAAATATCTCTGAGGTATTTGGATCCACATTACTTGGAACCGTACTTACCTGTGATCCTCCCTTTTCAGATCCCACCCAGTCACTTATAAATAATCTACTTACCTTTGCATCTTGAGTTCGAGTCCTGTTTCTTCTCAGAGCCCTTGCTTTGGTATTTAATCTTGCGATTACAAGTGCTACCTTAAAAATCCTCTGCCTCCTACCTCCGTCCTCTCTGCCTTCTCTCCTCTCCAAGCTCAGATTACAGGCCGGTCCATCTCATGTGCTTAGAAACAGAACACTGACAACCCATTTACTGAAGTCATCATCATTTGCTCAGACACTAATCTGCCATCATCTTCACTTTGTGGAAAATGTAATATTGTTCATTTCAAAGCCTCCTTCGAGCGTTCTTCCAGCCATTATCTGCAGTTCCCCCAGCTCCACGAGCAACAGGAACATGCTATAGGACTGAAGATCATCTCTACAGAGGAAGAACTGCTCTGTACCAGTACTTCAGAACTCATCAGGGATGTTGGAGCTTTTAATTAAACACTTTCAATCATCCACCTGTTTGTAGCGGTGAGGTCAGAAAAGCTTTTATATCAACTTTAGACTGCCCTGTTGCTGAATTGTTCCCAGTCTGGACATTAATCTCTCAAAATAAACAAGCCTTTCCATTTTCAAGCACGATTATAACGTATACTAAAAGACAAATAAGCCTTGTCGTCTTGTGATTAATTTATTTGACATACAGGATTTCTTTTCTTCATGTTTGTTGAACATTTGAAAAGTATTGTTTATTTGAGGGAGTAACTTCATTTAACTTTAAATTACAAGTACATGAAGGTCAGATATGTCAGATTTGTAAAGGTTTGAAGAAATACTCATATATTTAAGAAAAATTGCCTGTGTGTTTACTACAGCTCTTTAAGATTAACATTAATTATTTAGACATTACAATATATAGCCTAAAATCTGTCCAACCAAACAAAACAAACAACAACAACAAAAAAAATCACAATAATCTTTCCATTTATTGAGGAATTTTCCAAATTTCTTATCCTTTACAAACTATTACTGAGTCTTTCATTGCTTCAGTTTAAATTGTTGGCAAAAGGAGGAAAACAATCAGTGTGTTTCTCTGTTAGAATGGTTGTAAACAGAGACGCTTTATAAATTCTGATTTTGGAAAATAACATTTGTACCAAATCCTTCATAAATGCCAACCAAACCTGGATTTGCACCTTGGAAAGAAGGACTAATTTAACCCAGCCTGGGTGAAAAGCAACTGAACTGAAATGATGCTATTTTGTGTCAACTGCTCAGCTGAGCATCAGCTGCCCGAGGCTGTTCGAAAATACATCTTTACAAATGTTCCAGCAAAACTTGTACAGATGAGAAAACAGTAGAAGGAGATGGTACAATTACTGTGCATGGAGGAGACACTGTGGAGATCCAAACAGCTCTCTGTGGTTGTGCTGGTCACAAGGGTGTACACCTCAGCAGCCGAACAGCATAGTGAAGCTAAAAGTAGAAGCTAAAACTGCTTGTCACGTTAGTATCCAGAAACTAAAACTGCTGGGTACTAGCAAGTAACTAGAAGATTAAGTCTATGGTTAGTAGCAAATAACAAAAAGCTAAAACTGCTGTTTACTAGCTAGTAACTATGAGCTAAAACTTCAGTTAATAGAAGTAACTATGAGCTAAATTTCCAACTACTAGGGAATAACTCTGAGCTAAAACCACTGGTTACTAGCTAGTAATAATAAACTAAAACTGCTGGTTAATATTTAGCAACAAGAAGCTAAAACTGCTAGTTACTGGTTCGAAACAATAAACAAAAACTACTGGTTACTATTTAGTAACTATAATTCAGTTCAATTCAGTTTATTTATATAGTGCCAATTCATAACAGATGTCATCTCAGCCTATAAGCTTAAACCAATAGTTACTAGCTAGTAACAAGGAGCTTATACTGCTGGTACTACCTCATAACTAGAAGCTAAAACTGCTGGTTACTACCTCATAACTAGAAGTTACAACTGCTGGTCACTACCTGATAATTAGAAGCTAAAACTGTGTGTTACTACTTCGCAACTAGCAGCTAAAACTGCTGGTTACTAACTCATTCCTAGAAGCTAAAACTGCTGGTTACTACCTGATAATTAGAAGCTAAAACTGTGTGTTACTACTTCGCAACTAGAAGCTAAAACTGCTGGTTACTACCTCATAACCAAAACTAATATTGCTGGTTACTACCTCATAACCAAAACTAAGATTGCTGGTTACTACCTCGTAACCTGAAGCTAAGACTGCTGATTACTACCTTGTAACTAGAAGCTAAAACTGCTGGTTACTACCTCGTAACTAGAAGCGAAAACCTCTGGTTACTACCTCGTAACTAGAAGCTAAAACCGCTGGTTATTACCTCATAACTAGAAGCTAAAACTGCTGGTTACTATCTTGCAACCAGAAGCTAAAACTGCTGGTTAATACCTCATAGCCAAAACTAAGACTGCTGGTTACTACCTCATAACCTGAAGCTAAAACTGCTGGTTACTACCTCATAACTAGAAGCTAAAACTGCTGGTTACTATCTCATAACTAGAAGCTAATACTGCTGGTTACTACCTCATAGCTAGAAGCTAAAATTGCTGGTTACTACCTCATAACTAGAAGTTAAAACTGCTGGTTACTACCTCATAATTAGAAGCTAAAACTGTGTGTTACACTTTGCAACTAGCAGCTAAAACTGCTGGTTACTACCTCATAATACGAAGCTAAAACTGTGTGTTACTACTTTGCAACTAGAAGTTAAAACTGCTGGTTACTACCTCATAATTCGAAGCTAAAACTGTT